GCTTTGGCAGAACATGAACAAGCACACAGAGAAGACTGGATCTGTCTACACACACACATCACACAATAATACATGTATAATACGTATTTAATACAGCATTGTATACAATAGGGGAGAACCTGCATCCCACTGCTGGCTTGTCTCAGAAGCTAAGCAGGGTTGGTCCCTGGATGGGAGACCAAATGCTGCTGGAAGTGGTGTTGGCGGGCCAGTAGGAAGCACCCTTTCGTCTGGTCTAAAACAAATGCCCCATGGCAGTGATTGGGGACATTGCCCTGTGTAGGGTGCCATCTTTCGGATGGGACGTTAAACGAGTGTCCTGACTCTCTGTGGTCACTAAAGATCCCATGACACTTATCGTAAGAGTAGGGGTGTTAACCCCGGTGTCCTGGCCAAAGTCCCAATCTGGCCCTCATACTATCATGGCCACCTAATCATCCCCAGCGTCCAATTGGCTCATTCATCCCCCCTCCTCTCCCCTGTAACTATTCCCCAGGTTGTTGCTGTAAATGAATGTGTTCTTAGTCAACTTACCTGGTAAAATAAGGGTTAAATAGAAATAAATAAAAGAACCGGGACGAAAGTAACACTTTTTGTTTTTTTCCTAATTACCCAGAGATCGATAGAGGTAGAGAGACCGTATTTTATGCATTCAGAAAGTATTCATATCTCTTGACTTTTTCCACACTTTGTTGTGTCACAGCCTGAATTTTAAATTGATTAAATTGAGATTTTGTGTCACTGGCCTACACACAATACCCCATATTGTCAACATGGAATTGTGTTTTAAGAAAGTTTTGCAAATTAATTAAAAATGAAAAGCATAAATGTGTTGTTAAGGAAAGCCTAAGTAAGTTCAGGAGTAAACATGTGCTTAACAAGTCACATAATAAGTTGCATGGACTAACTCTGTAGGCAATAATAGTGTTTAACATGATTTCTGAATGACTACCTCCTCTCTGTACACCACACATACAATTATCTGTAAGGTCCCTCAGTCGACCAGTGAATTTCAAACACAGATTCAACCACAAAGACCAGGGAGGTTTTCCAATGCACTGCAAAGAAGGGCACCTATTGGTAGATGGGAAAAAATATATAGCAGAATAAAAAAGCTGACATTGAATTAACCTTTGAGCATGGTGAAGTTATTAATTACACTTTGGATGGTGTATCGATACACCCAGTCTGTACAACGATACAGGCGTCCTTCCTAACTCAGTTGCCGGAGATGAAGGAAACCGCTCAGGGATTTCACCATGAGGCCAATGGTGACTTTAAAACAGTTACAGAGTTTAATGGCTGTGATAGGAGAAAATTGAGGGTGGATCAACAACCTTATATTTACTGCACAATAACAACCTAATTGACAGAGTGAAAAGAAGGAAGCCTGTAAAGAATAAAAATATTCCAAAATATGCATCCTGTTTACAATAAGGCACTGAAGTAAAATTGCAAAAAATGTGGCAAAGATATTAACTTTATGTCCTGAATACAAAGTGTTATGTTTTGGGCAAATCCAACACAACACATCCCTGAGTACCATTCGTCATATTTTAACGGTGGCAGCTGCATCATGTTATGGGTATGCTCGTAATCGTTAAGGACTGGGGAGTTTTTTAGGATAAATAAACAAAACAGAATAGAGCTAAGCACAGGCAAAATCCTAGAGGAAAACCTGATTCAGTCTGCTTTTCAACACACTGGGAGACAAATGCACCTTTCAGCAGGACAATAACCTAAAAAAACAAGGCCAAATCTACACTGGAGTTGCTTACCAAGAAGGCAGTGAATGTTCCTGAGTGGTCTAGTTACAGTATTGACTTAAATCATCTTGAACATCTATGGCAAGACTTGAAAATGGCTGTCTGGCAATTATCAATAACCAACTTGACAGAGCTTGAAGAATTTTTAAAAGAATAATGTGCAAATAGATTACAATCCAGGTGTGCAAAGCTCTTGGAGACTTACCCAGAAAGACTCACAGCTGTAATCGCTGCCAAAGGTGTTTCTAACATGTATTTACTCAGGGGTGTGAATACTTATGTAAATGAGATATTTCATTTTCAATACATTTTCAAAAATGTCTAATAACATGTTTTCACTTTGTCATTATGAGGTATTGTGTGTAGATGCATAAGAGAGAGAAACATCTATTTAATCCATTTTTAATTCAGGCTGTAACACATCAAAATGTGGAATAAGTCAAGAGGTATGAATACTTTCTGAAGGCACTGTATGTCCTCTACCATTAGCAACTGTAATTTCATTTCTAGGGTAAATGAGTTTAAATTAAATAGACAGAGAACAGAACTGCTGCAACATTATTCTCGTACCTACCGGCAGGGCGGGAGTAACACAGCCTTGGAATGGAAGTAACAGCTGGCGAGAAGTGCACAATATCTGTCTTATCTCCATGTTTCTGGTTTGTAATGCTCCTTACTGTCAACAAATGCATCATTTCATGTTCATGTCGATTTGAATAATTAATGCTATATGTTCAAAATCATAAAGATATATATTTGTAACCACTAACCTGTTGCTAAAAGCTTATGTGAGAAGCTGATCCGTCAAGTCAATTGATTAAGGCATAATTCTAATTATGTCATATATAATTTTCAAACATTCAGTCACTTGTTGATATTTTGCTAACATTATAAAAGCAATATGAACTAGAGGAGACAATGGCCTGTGCTTAAATTGTTGTTTTATTTTATTCCAGGTCATCAGTTAACATTGTGTTACTTTCATCCCACCCGTCTCTCCTGCATCTTCTCCCAGGCTAACACCCAAGACTAGCTAGCATGATGAGCTAGCTTGAAACCTATACTGTCAATTAATTAAGAAAATGACATATGTTTGGAACCTTAAACAACTAAACACAACTCTACAACCGAAAAACACTTCTGGGTCAGTTTCTTTTACTTACAACGCTCAAAACCACTTTTTGTTGATAACTCGGTGAAACATGGTTAAACTGGGCTGTTGTTTTGCTGGGAGCTCGTCCTCTGCATTAGGAACATACTGACTTCATTACGTCATTCTAGCTTCTGTCTAAAATGAGAACATGGGCGTGTTACTTTCGCCCTGTGTTACTTTCGTCCCGGCTCTCCCTTACTAATATTCGTATTGGCATTAGAGACAGGACAGTATATTTACAAAATATTTACCCCCAAAATATGACTATTGTTTGCACAAGAGATATGCCACCAGTTTTTCCTAAACACCAAAATACCCCAAGAAATCTCAAATTAAATGCAACTACTGGTAGTTCCTCTTTTATTAACATCCTGAGTACGAACCATTTGCCCTAATTTCTGTGCATTTTCCAATTAGTATTTAGTAAGACAGATGTGAAGTTTACCACAGTGGTAAAGGCTTGATCAGTTCTGAATACCAGTCCATCTGGTGCTTAGTCCATGATCCCAAACTGAAAGGCTTTGGAGGAAACACCTCAAACTCCAAGCAGTATGGCCGCATAGAAATCTGTTGTGGGGCCAGTGGCACCCAATCTGGCAAACCAAACACCACTATTCAGTTCAAGATTCCACAGCATCCTCTTCTTGCACCATCAGGCCACTGTGACCCCAAGTACCCATAGTTCCTAAGGCCTCTGTTGCCTTGGAGATACAGTTCTTCCACTCCTTTAACGGGCTGCTGTTGTATAGTTCTTAGTGACATGCCACAAGGTTTGTGATTCTGATGTGCAGATGGGCGGGTCATTCTTGAATTACAGTGGCATTTGGGCATGGAGAAAATGAACTTCATTTTTCTAGTTAATATATTTTTCTTTTATGTATTTGGGTACATCTTCCCATTCTAAATAAACTACTATGGTACCTTAATGACTTTACTTTTTTTTACCATTACATTAACATTGTGCCACCAGTAGGATTATTAACACCAATGATGGTAACGCCAATGAGACATTTTAGATAAATAAGGATTTTCTGAAATGGAGGCCACAAATGCTCAAATCTAAGGTGATCAATCCTTTAAAAGTGATATGATTAATCATTTTGCTCACAATGTTATTTCCCTTCATTTAAACACCAAACTAACACTGGATTTAGACACACCAAATTATCAATGGAATCCTTAAGTTTATGACATACTAAAAGGGTATGATTAGCTAAGAATTTTCTTTAATATAGACCCTTCCCCTGATAACAGTTTGCCACTGGAGAGAATGCTCAAAGTCCTTGTATATCTTTGTAATGAGTGATTTTCAAGGCGTTAACACCAATGACATGAAACTGAGGGACACACGTTATACTAGTAAAGAAAATAGGTATTTAAATAGCCTTTGTTTTAATTGATCTATACAATATATTAAATACTTTAGTTCACTTTCTAGCATTCAAAATAATAGATAGATACAGTATCTCTAAATCGCCAAAACATGTCACTACAACTCTACACATCACTACTGGGACAAGCCAATTTGCTTACCCTAAGTACTTTAAACAATGCCTAAACATACAGTTCTGCAGTATAAAGGACTTGCATTATGTTTTATCAATGATAAACAGTTCAATATAAACAAAAACATGTATGATGTGTAACTATTTGTCATTTTAATGTGTTTTTCATGGTTGCAAAGGCAAGGGACGCAAATGCCACCGCAATTCAAGAATGACCCAGGCAGTACACGTGCCTGGTCTCCATTCCTATGTCCGTCCCTTGAAGGTGTCCATGCAGGTGTAGCACCCTGAGAAGCGCTGGATCTCCTCCAGGGCCGCCTGAGGCAGGAAGCTGTTGGAGAAGAGAATGGAGCATGTTTATCTAACAGAGGTAGTTCATTGAACCACACTTAGGTGAAGATTAACTTTGTCTGAGACCTGAAGACTTGTGTTAGCACCCCAAGCTAATCCCTAGGGCTTTAGCTCAGAGGGCTAACACAGTTGTTGGTGCTCAGAAGACCCAGTGTCACTGCCTCATCTATCTAACTTAGTAGTAGGCTACTCTGGTGTCGTGCCTGGGATTTGGTCCCCCTACCTCTTGAGGATAACGAGAGCGTGCATGGTCCAAGGTAAGTAGACGAACGGCGTGTTGGTCCGGACTGCGTCCACCGTCCGCTGGGCCACCAGCTCAGGATTCAGCGGTGGGAAGAGCTGAGGGAACCTGGGGATGAACACATCACACACTTTACCTTCTCACTTCACTTTTATTTAGCCCTGTAAATCATATTGTCAAATGTGTCTTGGTGAATTTCTTTCACAATATTGATGAATTATTCCTGCCATTGATGTGTGAATGGGATTGCTCCATGTAGACATTCCATCCATTGCTTTCTATGGAACCTCTATCTGAGCCTATGTGTCAATTCTGTGTGCTGACAGTACTTACATATTATACACTGGCTGACCCATTGTAAAACAACTAGAGTGCCATGTATGGTAGACTCAATAAATGGTAGTTCCAATGTATAGTAGATTCAATGTATGGTAGTTCCAATGTATGGTATCCCATGGTGGGCACACTCACCTGACTCTCATGCCCTGAAACATGTCTGTATTGGTATGGAAGGGGAGCACGGTGGTGCAGCCCACCCCGGGGCAGTCCAGCAGGCCCAGGGTCAGGCTCTCCATGAAGGCCAAGGACGAGGCCTTGGAGGTGCAATAATCTATGGCCCCCGGGATGGAGGACAGTGACAGGATGGAGTTGATACACACCACGTGGCCATGGCAAAGCTCCAGAATGCGGGGTAGGAAAGCTTTGGTGGTCTGGAGAGAGAGAGAGTGAGAGAAACGTGACCGTCTGCACATTGTTCTGCTCCTCTCACTACTATTCCCTAGCTGTTCATTCACTCTTCTCTCAAATTGAGTTCCCTTCCTACCTTCTGGAATTCACAAGAATAACAGAGAGGGGTTGCAGCACTCAGAGAGAATTGGGGAACCGAACCTGTTCCACGTCCCATCGGTGCAAATCAGAAGACAAACTCCAACATCATGTGAGATCCTTTTAACAGTGTCAGCAAGCATTCTCAGTTACCAGCATTTGATTTCAGATCTAATGATTCTTTCTTAATTTTTTTAATTTAACCCTTACTTCAACAGGGAGTCATATTGAGACCAGTAGTAGATAGAGTACTAAAAACATTACCTATCCCCTTCATACCTTGTGGTATCAACATATGTTGAAAGATTACCCTTATTTTTCCAATAACTGAAACAAATCAAAATTCATAAAATGCTTCAATACATAATACAAGCCATAATGAATTAGTACTTTCCTGTATCATATACTTATCTAAAGGAAATCTATTTTTCAACACTCACCCAGAACTGGCCCAGCGTGTTGATGTGTTGAGTCTTCATCAGGGCATCATCGTCACTGTCCATCAGACTCTTCCCATGAACCACTGCTGCGTTATTCACCAGAATGGTGACATCGCCTACCTAAGACACAAAAATGAACATATTCTGTAAAAGGCTTAACTCTTTGTTTTATTACTTTATTACTTATTACCTTGTTTCCCTTCATATTAAATTGCAAGACTGATAAGTGAGTGATAATTATGTCTTATCTTAATCCTTGTTAAGTTAAAGACATACTTTGGTGACTACAAACGATTTTTTTAAACCTCCAGCGTTGGGCTGGATGTGTCAATGTGTAGTTCATACATTCAAAGTCTGTAAGCAGAATTGTATCTTACTAGTTTGAAAGCGACCGTTTTTTTTGGAAGCTGTGCTGCGCCATTTTCCCTACATTTTCCCCCACGTTGGCCAGCCCCCTAGAAATTTGAGTTCTAGCCAATGAGCTTCAGCACCTCGCCATTTGAGTGACAGCTAGCAAGATGCACACACAGCAGAGCGAGAGAGAGAGCGCAATGAAGTGGTGCATATATCTGCACATATGTGACGTAGTACGCAATTTTCGGGGGCCACTTTTGTCTTGTGAGCACTACTTCCAAAACTACTGGCTAAAAAGTATACAAAAGTACCAGAGAATCTCTTAAAGCTGATACATCATATATCCCTGTGAAAGACTGGTTGGACTGTGCAGACTATTTTCAACACTGTCATGTGTTTGTTATCTAAATGACATAGGAACTGGGTTGTTCATTTGGGTGGGGCTACAGTATCTTGTTGGTTATCTCTACTGTACCTTCTCTCGGACCAACTTGGCCTGCTTGTACACCTCCTCGCGATTGGCCACGTCACACAGGAAGTAGTGGCACTCGGCTCCAGTGGTGAGAGAGATCTCCTCGCAGGTCTCCTTCAGACACCTCTCAGTGCGGCCCCACAGGATGACCTGACAACAGACAGACAGGGGTCAAAAGTAAAAAAAGAACAGTCTATTGGCCTGAGACTGGGAACACATATTTGGACTTGTGTTATCTTGTAGGAATCACAAAAAACACATAGGCTTTCTGGGCGGCAAGAAGAACGTTGTTTTTGCAGATTAATATGATCATTGCATGCATTTCTTAAACCAGTGCTCAGGTAGCCTACAGTAGGTTCAAGGTATGAAGTTATATTCTATTACGTTAACATCTTTCCCATCTGTTTGAGATTGCTGTGCATTGCAAAGTGCTATATCTTGAATTGTTCATGGAGGAGGCATTGGCTAGAGATTTTGAGCAGACACAAGTTCTTTGATTTGCAATTTTGGAGTGAAAACCAGCGACAAAGATCTAATATCCATCTCCAGAGGGGCCCCTGCACACTGATAACCCTGGATGTCTGGCTACTGGCCAGACCCCCTCTACACACACAAACACATGCAAGACATTCGCGCATGCACACAAATGCAGACAGACATGCACGCACACACATGCACGATGACCACGCACATTCACCAGACTCTCACACAGACACACGAACACAGACACAGACGCACACACACGAACAGACAGAGATAACCATCAGATCATTTTACTACAATGACAAATGCTTTGGTGATAAAAGGAATATTTTCACCTAACCGAATTGTGCCTTCCACTACCCTGTCAGTGAACTTTCTTGAACAGCCACTGGAGCCCCAGAGAGGCTAGAGTTGAGGTTAGCAAGTCAAATATCAATGTAGCACTACAGAGCCGACCGCCCAACCTGTCATCAACCCATTGTAAAGCACAGGGACTGAGGAAACACCTGTGTTTGTGTGCCTTTACAATCAGGGACTGAGGAAACACCTGTGTTTGTGTGCCTTTACAATAAAAGGAATGGGGAAGGGAACACACTATGCATCATACATCCCCCAGGTCAGCTAGGGGGCGAGAGGAGTTCAGGCTCCGTTCCACTAGCCTAGTGTAGTTTCCCATTACATTTCACATGGAAAACAAACACACCGAGAGTGACCGATAGACTCAAGTTTTTAATTGAACTGAAGTTATACTATAAGTTATACAACAATAGAATAGATTCTGAAGTTATGCTTGAATCAAACAGAATAGAAATGATAAAACATCTCCAAACAACTGTCCCTTTCTTCTCCCCAACTTTTACATGAGGTAAAATGTTAATGGGTTCTTGTTCATATTCTATTTTTTTAAACTAGGATAACAAACAAGCTGTACAAAGTGATGTGAGCATGCTACAGTGGTGGATATGACTGTTTGGCAGTGCATTGCTTTTTAATTGTGCGTTTATCATATTGATGATATGCGTAATGACGCACAAATGCATAATAGCGCACAGGTGATAGTTTACCTTTTTTGCCCCGTGTTTTGCGAACTCTTTCCCCAAATGCCGACCGATGCCCCGTCCACCGCCGGTGATCAGCACCACCTCCCCACGTAGGTCCTTCCGTCTGCTCGGGAGCAACAACCCCAAGCATGCTTTTAAAATGCAGAAGAGGATGTGGAACGGGAAAAGCAAAGCGTGTCCCAAGTTATTTAATTCCATTACGACTTTTTGAGGTATAAAGATGCCTTTTCCTGAGAATACAATTGGAGTATCCACATAGGCAATGCACACCTTCCCAAAGTGCGTGGATGACAGATGTTGGAATTTTAAGTCTTCTCCATACCACTACCCCTTTACGACAGAATTATCATCACTCCAGTTTGAATATCAGAGGTTGACACACATAAGTCTTTGTTATAATAGGCACAGTACGAACATGCGGTGACAATAGATGACATGGAGAGCCAATGCCAACAGTGCGTGCGCCAACCAACACAATTTGGATTTTACGTCTTCGACTACGCTTAGCCTTTTCAATCCCAGCACTGTCTGACTACCGGTATGACGACAATATGTCTTTATATAGCCCATTAATCTTGATTGACAGTTGCTGGAGATTATAGTCCCTCCGATTTGATTGTGCGTTAGCGGCTGTTGCGCATTTTCCCTCTCTCCACCCCCAAGAGAGCTGCGAGAGGAGAAAGTCGCATGGGGAAAAGGTATGAATTGCAGGGGACAGGGGTTACATGATCACGTTTACAACCACCACTATCTTTATGTTATGAATTGCCAGTAGGCTGTCATAACTTAATAGAAGTAGCCTATGTGTTATCTGTAGCCTATACTTGAAATTGCCTTGTGTGATTACTCCGGTGATATATCAGTAATACCATAAAGATCGTGTTTAAGGTGACAATATTCAACATTAGATAATTTTGAACTCTCATCTGATTGTAGGTTCAAGTTCCATCATATATCTCTATTCCCCGCACAGCACATATCCAAACAATACCTGTTTGGTCACATTGGCACCTTGACTCATATTTTGTGTTGGTAAAAGAAACTGGGCTGTGTATTCAAGTAGGGACCAGTACCCCCAAAAATTGCAAGCATTTCATCAAATGGAGAAAAAAACATATAGCTCTTTATCTATGGCTCTGAACAAAAATACATTTCAAGGACATTTCTTCCAACCAAACATTTATTTTATCCAAGGACTTGCTGACCAAGGTATGTCAAAAACATGTAATATTGTGTGTTCTGACCTTCAAATAACAGGAAGATGCGAAGAAATGTCTAATGCGGGCCAGCCCACACAAACTTGGTTAAAATTGCCTCTAACACGTTGGGGTCTACCATAAAACGTAACCACTGTGATAGTGGGGTCATAGGATGTTGAAAGACAAAAAGGAAGACGCAGTTAAGCAGGCAGAATGACAACATAAAAGATTAGACAGTTAGAATGTATGTAGTTCTTATCTTCTTTCTGACAATGTTTTTCTTTTCCTAAGCTGCTTTTATGAAAAGTGAACAGTGCTTCAGCTCCTGTCGCTGGAACTCCAGCAGATGGGGAAGTGAGTGACAGAGGAGAGACTCGAGAGACTAGTGAGACTGGAGAAGGGCAGGGGTCCATTTTGCTGTTCACGTCATGTCCCATGTCAGTGCTAACATTAGCAGCATGGTGGTCAGCTCCAGTGCCTCATTGCAATAGGCTGCATCTGCTAATAGAAATAAATAAGTGTTAGTTCATCTTTAGTAAAATTACATGTCTTATGTTGGCCTTGCAAAGAATTTAGTTTCCTTTTGTCCATTCTCTCTATGCATACCAACAAAATGTTGTCTCCCCTTCTTAAGTCTAGGATTTTCTGTAAAAACAGAGAAAACAAAGTAAGTCATGTGGATGAGGAGAGGGGGTAACAGAGAACCCTTGACATAGAGAACACACACACCAAACACGATGAGCCGTGTGTGTGTGTCGGTGGATCCCAGAGGGTTCTGGGCAGTGCAGCGGAACATGGAGCCGTTGAGCTCGGCTGGTACTCTCTCCAGCACCAACTCCCTCCCATTATGGTCCTCTCTCCCGTCCAGCAGAGGACCTCCCACCCTGGTCCAGGTGAACAGTGGCTCGGGGAACACCATGTTCTGAAGAGTGCATGGGGAAAAGCATCCTTTGTAAATAATGTGTGTGTATGAGATTGATTACATTACAGCCGGACTGCACATAATCACTGATGTACAAGTCACCTTGCATCCCAAATAATTACTCTGTGATCAAGATTATTGATTATGTGCCTTGCCAGCTCGCCTAACTCAAACTGATCCCATCAAACACGCTGAAATACTTTCATCCAAATGTATCTACCAGTTGTATTCTATAGTCATAGTGCGACACCTGTTGGTGAAGTGTTATATTCTTGAAAAAGGTTTGCTTTCAATGATTGTGATTTCCTACTACAGTTGAATGCACTTATTGGTACAAATAGGGTAAGAATAAAGCATTTCTCATGTACTCACCCCAGTGGAAGAGATCTGGAGGCCCTGAACTGTAATGCGGACAGTGTCTCCTACTTTAGCCTTACCAGGCGACATGGACAGTTTGGGGCCCCTGGGAGCAGCTAAAGGGAAATAAAATACAAACAATCAATGTTACATATTTTTTTATCTGATCTAATCTTTAATATTTTAACCAAATTGTACATTTACATTTTGGTCGTGTAGCAGACGCTCTTATCCAGAGTGACTTCCAGTCAGTGCAGTCAGTAACAAATCACTTCTATTATTTTTCCTTATTTGTCCCATAAACTATTTATAAAGGAATAAATGCAGCAACTCATCTATACTGAACAAAATATCAATGCAAGATACAACAATTTCAACGATTTTACTGAGTGACAGTTCATATAAGGAAATCAGTCAATTGAAATAAATTCATTAGACCCTAATCTATGGATTTCATGACTGGGCAGGGGTGCAGCCATGGGTGACCTGGGAGGGCATAGGCCCACCCACTTGGGAGTCAGGCCCAGCGAATCAGAATGAGTATTTCCACACAAAAGGGCTTTATTACAGACAGAAATACTCCTCAGTTTCATCAGCTGTCCGGGTGGCTGGTCTCAGACGATTCCGCAGGTGAAGAAGCCGGATGTGGAGGTCCTGGGCTGGCGTGGTTACACGTGGTCTGTGGTTGTGATGCCGGTTGGACGTACTGCCAAATTCTCTAAAATGATGTTGGAGACGGCTTATGGTAGAGAAATGAACATTCAATTCTCTGACAACAGCTCTGGTGGACATTCTTGAAGTCAGCATGCCAATTGCGAGCACCCTCAAAACTTGAGACATCTGTGGCATTATGTTGTGTGACAAAATTGCACATTTTAGAGTGGCCTTTTATTGTCCCCAGCACAAGGTGCACCTGTGTAATGACCGTGCTGTTTAATCAGTTTCTTGATATGCCACACCTGTCAGGTGGATGGATTATCTTGGCAAAGGAGAAATGCTCACTAACAGGGATGTAGACAAATTTGTGCACAAAACTTTAGAGAAATAAGCTTTTTGTGCGTCTGGAAAATTTCAGGGATATTTTATTTCAGCTCATGAAACATGTGACCAACACTTTACATGTTGCGTTTATATTTTTGTTCAGTATATATTCTCTGTATACCGTGCACAAAGCTTTCAGCCTATGAGTCCATTTTGTATATGAGCATGGCAGTCTTGGAACAGCTGTTTTTGATTGTGATAAATCTCCACTATATCTAGTAATCCACTCATACTTACTGATATGAGGTTTGCCGTGTATTCATCATAAACTGATGCCCGTGGCTGTACTGCATACAGAGCATAGTGTGGGTAGGTGTGTGTGCTTATGTGATTACATATGTAACGGTGTAAAAAATAGCTGATCTGCCGTGAGATTTCTAATGCGTTTCTAAGCAGAACTAATGGATGCTCTGAACAAATACTCTATTAAGGATCATCCTCATTACGTGAGTCACTGCCTCTAAATAGTCGCTGGCTGCTGCTGGATCCTGAGCTAAAGCATATGAGTACCGTATATTCCTGTAGTTGGCTGATGCTTTAGGCTGGGAAGTGATTGTTTTCTGATATTACTGAATGCATTATCTCTGAGTAGTGTTGTATGTGTGTGTATATATATATATATATATATATATATATATATATATATATATATATATATATATATTCCCTAAATTCAGAGTTTTCAGACACCATGAACATTTCCATTAATTCAGGAAAAAAATGTAAACCTATAGTGAATTTGGACTTTAACTAATATTTTGGAACAATATTATTTTGGATTATACCATGGCATTGTTGAATACTTATTTCTGATTGGCTTGAAGGGCATTCTAGAGCGTGCATTATTTCCCTATAATGCACAGTATATTTGCACTGTAAAATTCAATGGCTATAGATTTAATTCTTACATCTTCTATGTTTGAGCTGCTTATGAAAGCAAAAGTCGAATTGAAAACTTTGGTATTGTTGAATTCGATTTTCATAATGGCAAGCTAGGACTGATGGTTTGGTTAGTTAAACTCGCAAATCTGTTTGTTTGGTTACCACGGCAACTAGTGTAGCTGTCTAGTAAACTTGTAATGCTAGCTACTTCAGTGGATGTTGAACACATTTCTACCAACAAATGAACACATTCTAGCGGCAAATGTATTCAACTATAGCTATGGTATAAAAGGGATAATCAACTCAGGGCTCTATGCGTTCTCTGTAAAATAATGCAACGCCGTGGAAGATCACCTTCCACATCTTTCATTATTTTCCATAGAACGTGTAGCCCCTCATTGATTATCCCTTACATATTCTTTCTGTTTTCAAGGAGACATGAGTATTTGGTATCCAGCTGATTTTCATGGTCAAACCGATTTGGGAGCCTGGTATCTGAGGGAAGGTAGAAGGTGGAAGGGCATGCTCAGGTCTGGTACCCACACAGAGTGACCTCAGCCTGCATGGGCATGGACAGAGCTGGGTGCTTGACCTCGCAGCTGAACAGGGCGTCGTTGTCCAGCTGGGGGTTGAGGCTCCAGGTGAGCATGGCTCTGACCTCCATGGTGCCATCGCTGGAGACCTGCCGCCTGTGCTGGAAGTAGTAGAGCGGGTCAGTGCTCTGCACCCAGCGGGGGAACTCCCGGCTTACCACCGTCTCTGGGATCACCTCCGTGGTTGTGGGGCTGGGCTCAGACCCCTCCACACCACCAGGCTCCCCCGGGGCCCCTGGCTCCTCCCCGGCCCCTCCTATCTTCCCTGTCCCTCCGGTGTCCTGGTCCAGACGGGGGGGCTTCCCCAGGTCCTGGTCCAGCAGGGAGAGGGACTTCTTCAGCTTGGTGTCATCCAGATCTCTGCTGATCAAGGTCCTAGAGCTCCGTAGCCCTGCCAGGCCCCTGCCCTGGCTCCTGCCACCCTCCATAATAGAGGGGAACACCTCGATCAGCTCGCTGTCACGCTTGAAGTACACCTGAGAGGAGAACGACATCGTAAGAGCCCGTAACAACCAAGAACACAAATCATTTCAACGGTGCAGTGAGTTTTCTTACTTCAAATTATATTTCAGTAGGAGTACTTTTGAGTAGTTTGCATGTGGGTAGCTGAGGAACTCTCAACTCTGTTATTTTATATCGAGGTGGAGTTGAGTTTTGATAACTGGTCACGGGATTTGCTAGCAACAACATTGAGCCACCATCAGTCGATTCTTGTAAAAATGCCAATTCTGAAAACGCTGTCCTTTCGTGGGGTGCTGAAATTCATAATTTTAATACAAACATTTAGCAAATACAACCACCAACTTTTTCGTCATTGCTCGTACTACTTGAGCTGAGATTAAATTAGATCTGTGCTATCTGGGATCCTTGGGAAGTCCCTACCCCATTGAAGTTGACATTTTAAATGGTTAAGGTAAGAGTTAAGGTTAGGGTTAGGTATGGTTATGGTTATGGTTATGGTTATGGTTACGGTTACGGTTACGGTTACGGTTATGGTTATGGTTACGGGTTAAGGTAAAGTTAGGATGTCCCAAGGATCCCGGATAGCAGGGACCCAATCTCAGTTTACGTAGTATGAGCAATGAGGACCTTTTTATTTATTTTGATTAACAAACAAATATCAACAAACAAAAGAGGAATAGTCACATGCAAACAAGCATACATACAAACTTTTTACATTGCCAGGAATCCTAAACAAACAAATCATATTCATAAATAATACAAGTTTTAATTGCCTTTTTGTTTTTCATTTTAGTTAAAGTAGAGCCATATTGTTTAAATTCATTCATAAAGTGAAAAAACTTAGGTTTTGAATTAGACCATTTGCATTTGTGAATATTACGTTTACCTAATATTATTAGCAGTTGAAAATCACCATAGATCTTAGATCAAATAAATCTTGCTGAGGGAAATGTAGTATCACAAACAATATTCATAATCTGTTTATTACAACATTTATCTTTGAGGATGTTAATATTGCCAATGAATATATTTTAATTTAAATCTACGGTACTAAATCAACCACAAAAAAATAAAATAATAATAATAATTGGAATCGCATCAGAAACAATAGCATATTCTTTCGGGGTTATTGGAATTCTAAACTTATCAAGAAATTCCCCATATGAGAGATTTTTTTCAACATCAAAACTACACTGAAGCAGAAATTCTAAACCACCAACAGAGTCAAATAAATACTTAGGGAAGACATTCCAAATATTATTCTGGTTCTTAATATACTTCAGAATCCAATTGATTTTGAAAGTATTATTTCGAGTATTGAAATCTACAACCTCAAACCGATTGGTACCAAATGAAAGCCAAATATCATTCCCCCATTGACAGTTTCAGTATCTGTGGAACAGGTATGAGTTTCTTGAATGAAATAAAAAAAGTTGGCACTCTTACCCTTACAATACAAAAAAAAAAGATTTGCTTTTCAAAATATTATGGATTCCCCTGACATTAATAGAAAAAACTGAAATGGACATGTACAGTCGTGGTCAAAAGTTTTGAGAATGACACAAATATAAATTTTCACCAAGTCTGCTGCCTCAGTGTTTATGATGGCAATTTGCATATACTCCAGAAAGTTATGAAGAGTGATCAGATGAATTGCAATTAATTGCAAAGTCCCTCTTTGCCATGAAAATGAACTTAATCCCCCCAAAAATTCTGCCCTGCCACAAAAGGACCAGCTGACATCATGTGATTCTGTCGTTAACACAGGTGAGATTGTTGACGAGGACAAGGCTGGAGATCACTCTGTCATGCTGATTGAGTTAGAATAACAGACTGGAAGCTTTAAAAGGATGGTGGTGCTTGAAATCATTGCCATTCGAAAGTTATTGAAAGCCAAGTTAACAAACAGATCACCGACCATTTCGAATCCCACCGTACCTTCTCCGTTATGCAATCCGGTTTCTGAGCTGGTCATGGGTGCACCTCAGCCACGCTCAAGGTCCTAAACGATATTATAACCGCAATCGATAATAGACAGTTCTGTGCAGCCGTCTTCATCGACCTGGCCAAGACTTTCGACTCTGTCAACCACCGCATTCTTATTGGCAGACTAAATAGCCTTGGTTTCTCAAATGACTGCCTTGCCTGGTTCACCAACTACTTCTCAGATAGAGTTCAATGTGTCAAATCGGAGGGCCTGTTGTCTGGACCTATGGCAGTCTCTATGGGGGTGCCACAGGGTTCAATTCTTGGGCCGACTCTTTTCTCCATGTATCATGATGTCGCTCTTGCTGCTGGTGACTCTCAGATCCACCTCTACGCAGACGACACCATTTTGTATACATCTGGCCCTTCATTGAACACTGTGTTAACAAACCTCCAAACGAGCTTCAATGCCATACAACACTACTTCAGTAGCCTCCAACTGCTCTTAAACACTAGTAAAACTAAATGCATGCTCTTCAATCGAACGCTGCTGGCACCCGCCCACCCGACTAGAATCACTACTCTCGACGGGTCTGACCTAGAGTATGTGGACAACTACAAATACCTAGGTGTCTGGTTAGACTGTAACTCTCCTTCCAGACTCACATTAAGAATCTCCAATCCAAAGTTAAATCTAGAATCGGCTTCCTATTTCGCAACAAATCCTCCGCTCATGCTGCCAAACATGCCCTCGTAAAACGGACTATCCTACCGATCCTTGACTTCGGCGATGTCATTTACAAAATAGCCTCCAACACTCCACTCAGCAAATTGGATGTAGTCTATCACAGTGCCATCCGTTTTGTCACCAAAGCCCCACATACTACCCACCACTGTGACCTGTACGCTCTTGTTGGCTGGTCCTCACTACATATTCGTCGCCAAACCCACTGGCTCCAGCTCATCTATAAATCACTGCTAGGCAAATCCCTGCCTTATCTTAGCTCATTGGTCACCATAGAAACACCCACCCGTAGTATGCGCTCCAGCAGGTATATCTCACTGGTCATCCCCAAAGCCAATGTAGTGTATGAAGAATTATGACTTTGCTAATGTTTTCAAATGGAACCTGAGAGGATGTTTATTCAGTTTTACAGGGAGCCGTTTTAGAGTGACACCCCATAGAACAGAGGAAGTCTGTTTGTTGGAGACAGGTGATTGGACAGTATGGGGAACCACCCATATCTTGGTAAAGATTATAAGTACTGGGTTGGAACAAAGAAGATCAGAACAGACATATTCTTTTGGGACACTGTTCTCCGGATGCTGCAGACGTCTGTAAACTTATGCTGAAAACGTATGATATAAATAAAACGTATAATCGAAGTACAGTATAAGCGGACTCCTTTGTTTCAGAGCATAATTAGTAACGCTTTCTCGACACTACAAATGGCGACGAGTGATTGGGCCGGTCTGCGTCTCTCCTGTGTTACATTCATGAGCAGCGAAGTGACTCCCGCTCAAGACGCCGGCTTATAAGGTGAGATTTCTCACGGTCTTGTGTGCGATTTGGTTCGTTTGGTTATGGGTGTGTGCGCTGGGGAGATGTACCGTGTAAAATACTTGTGTGTGCTGGTGTTGCTGTTATTGCTGTGGAATGGGGGTCTGTTCTAACTATTCTAAATTTGTTTGCGCTGGTAAACAGCGAAAAAAGGGGGGAGTGTCTATGGGGATATTTTGCTTGAAAAAGAGTTCAAGAAGAATAGATTGAGAGGAATAAGGCCTAGGCATATGTGTGTAACTTAGAACCACTACGAATCTACGTTAGCCCTCTTGAGGAGGCGATCATTATGATGGGCCAAAAAATCCTATAACACGTTAGGTGGAGTAGGTAAGTCCAGGGGGCTTGAGGCTGTGGTATATTTTGATTGTATGTTACCGCTCAGCTTGTGGTTGACGAATCATTTGTTTGATGTAACCGCTCATTAGATTTCCGGCGGGACCTCGTGGTAGCAGAAATTTAGAGAAACAAAGGAATTTTACGACGTAGCGGAGGTAGAAATGCTAAATGCGGCATGCTAAATGCTTCATGCTACATGCTAATTTATACATGCTACATGCTAATTTGATGCGTGCCGTGCGCTGTATTTTTACCTTGGAGGTCCATTGGAATGGATCGAGCCTCCAGAACTGTGTTTAGTATAGCGTGGGATTGTGTCCTATGGTTTGTGAGCTCTGTTAAGTGTTATTGTTTGTCTATGAGGGGTAAAAGAGAGGAGGTATAGCGGGACTGTTAACGTTCTGTTGTCTGGGGTGAAGAGAGCTGGGAGAGAGCTCCTTCCACTGTGAAATCGCAGTAATAATAATAATATGCCATTTAGCAGACGCTCTTATCCAGAGCGACTTACAGGAGCAATTAGGGTTAAGTGCCTTGCTCAAGGGCACATCAACAGATTTTTCACCTAGTCGGCTCGGGGATTAGAACCAGCGACCTTTCGGTTACTGGCACAACGCTCTTAACCACTAAGCTACCTGCCACCTGCCACCAGTGATGAATGGACTGCGCATGCGTGTGATTTTATGTCTCTAGAGTGACGTAGGGGTAAATATGCCACTCCTCTGCTACACTCTTCTGCGGGGAGACGCAGACGAACGAAGGAACAAAGAGAAGGGAACATTTAGAGGCTAATGGTGTATTTTGGTTGTTACATCGGCTGTTGTTTGAAGATGAAACTGTTTTCTTGTGACCTATTGAATTGATAAACTAGAGATATGTTGACGGATTAAAATAAATAAAATAAAATGTTATTGAGTTATTTATAATATAAGTTGTTTGCTTATTTCTTAGCGCAAATGTGAACGGAGGAGTATTGAATGTTTGACATAACTCAGTGTGTGCATAAAATACTAAATTATTGTTTGTCCTTTGTTATTCTGTCATATGAGAGATGGTAAGAGGAAGGAGGAGAGAGAGAGAGAGCTGAAGTGCTGACGTATACATCACGCGACAAGAGTCTGCTGCAACGGGACCAGGTCAAACTAAGGCCAGTACTGTTATATTTACAAAACCTTCCCCTACAGGATATTTGATGTTATGACAATTTGA